CCTGCTCTTCTCTGCCTGAAGCAGCACAGGACCTCTGAACCCTCTTCCAGCTGAGCATCTCCAGCTAAAAAGGGTAACTTCTGCATGCAGAACTGCACATTTCCATCCTTCTACCAAAGTGGCACTGAACAACACTATCCAGTTTGTGAATACCTTCTATCTTAATCTTTCCCTTGAAGAGACTAATTTATATCTGAATCTCGTCATCTATTAGTTGAATACTATTAAAAACTCATAATCTGTACTTCCCTAGGAAGGGTGCTCTTAAGTGCTAGCTTTGACACTATTTCAAATGAATCAGATGATAAGAATATAGCGACATTTTTCAGGTTCACAACACCTTGATTAATAAGGCAACACACAATTTAAATGCTTAGTGAAACAGACTATGAAAATGGCTTTATCAAACCATAGGAATAAGAATTTGTCTTGTAACATTAATCACAGTAACTGTGAAAAAGACTGATCCTACTATCCTTGTTCAAGTTCCCATGGAGGTTTTGCTTATCTAAGGAATGCTAAATCAGGTCTTTACGACAAACTGCATTTTGAAATTATTTGGAAGACCTTGCAGTGCATTCACCGGAGTTATACATAACATCAGATACTTTTTATTTATAAAATCCATAAACCACATGACAGGTAACATGACAAGCAACATTCAGCGTCTCATGCTGGGTAAAGTGAAAAGAATAAGGTACTTACACCAAAATGATGTTCCAGTAGTAACGACAGACAGAATGACAGAGCAGTTTCACTTGGACCAAGTAAACAGAAAAGAGGCTGGGAAACCTTTCACCACTGTCAGAACATAAACGTGTCCTGGCAGCTTTCAACTGAACACCTATTCATTTAGACAGAACTAATACCTGAGGCATGTGTTAGAAATGCACTCCTAAAATACGTCTGCATGCATCACTTGGGAATGAAGGAAAAAAATACTAAGAGAGCAGTAAAATTAGTGAAGTGGTCACCAGTGCTGACTAATCTAAACCGTAGCAAATTAAAACTAAGCTACTGTTCATAACTGTGGTAATAGCCCGTTCTTCTTCCCCTTCTGCCTGCCAGAATGCAGTATTTTGACAGGAGACAGAATGTACAGGTCTCTGTAGCATAGTTAATTAAGTATAGTTGTTTATTCCCTAGGCCTGCATAAAGATGTGCTGCCGAGAGAGGAATTGGAGAAACCAACACTATGGAATCCTGCATGAATACTTGTTTACTCATAGCTCCTCAATCACTTCCTCCCACTGTTCAATTACCCCAACAGCCTCTGCACTGTGCTTGCCTTGGACCTGTGAAGACACAGAGTAAGTTAGGGAAATAGTATGTGAATGCCTTAAAATTGGTGACACAAATGGAATAAGAGAGTAGTGGTGGTCAGTTCTTCAGGGTACTGCTGCCTTGTTATTACCTGCATCTAAAGTACATATACGTAGTGCTTTCCACTTCCCGTGTAGGAGCTGGCATCATTTATCTGGGCAGCACAAAAGGAACTAGAATTTCTGCCCAAGCTTAACATAGTACGCCCTGAGTCTCATAACAAAGAAAACACCACCTAGCCTCTCTTACTATTGTCACCTTCCCCTGATAAGCACTAGCAGTGCTGAGCCCTCTATTTTGCTATTAATGCTGCGACTACACAAACAAATATGCCGGCACAAACACAGTTGGGGAGGGAGGACTAAGTGTCTAAAGGTGGGACAAGTCCAAAACTACTTCTTTTAGTTGTACTGTTGGCTTAAGCAATTTTAAGCCGCACTTGCAGTTACAACTTAAAACACTGAGAGGATGACATGAGGCATAAACATGACGTCTTGCAGCATTCTGGTGTAAGTGATACTGATTCCATTAATAAATTTGGGGACTACTAGAGAAATCTTACTAACAATGGCCCTTTTTTTTTTTAGTAAGAAACCCTACTAACAGGCACAGTAGGTTGTGAAATGAACCCAAGACCAAAACTGGAAGTCCCACTGTAGATGTAGTCCCATTGTTTGAGTTATCTAACACTGAGCAAGGAAAAGTGGTAAGAAATGTCCTGTAAGAGACAAACTGCATCTTCAAGGTTATTTACTAAGACACAGTCCTCAGAGAACTTTAGGTGCCTGGTCACCATCTAATTAAACATCGCTGTGCATAACAGCTGCCTAAATATCTGTGACAGTCTGAACCAATCCCCTGCTTTTCATCCTTTCATCCTTCAGTTTCACCCTTTTAAAAAAATTACTCGAAGTAGAAGAACAGATTAGCTTTCAATATTGCGAGGCAACAAAATAATAGGGCCTTAGAGATTCTTCAGGAGATGTCTGGTTACAAATATGCTCCAACAGCAAAGAAAATCATGATAAGAAGAAAGATTATCTTGCGATTATGAAGATTGTTTAGGTTACTTATACTTCGAGTTCAAGAAGGACAGAGCCTAGGTTTTTTTTCTTTTTCATTTCCTGGATCCTCCCACCAAATCTGGTATGCAAATCTTAGCTTTCCAGAAAAATGTGTCAAACTGATGAAAAGATCAGAGTCTAACCTATCATCCATGCACACCCTCTTACGCAGGAAAAGACATTGCTGTCAGCGACACAGCAATGCTTCTCAAACCATCAGGGTACTTTAGGAGAACCATACTTGGCAAAGTCTCTCCCAATACATTGTTCCTAGTTTTATCCATTAACTCACTAGCGTGGCCTCATCCGATTCAAAAATTCACTAACCCCTGTACAACCTGTTTCAACGGGGGACTCTTCTGTCCTGTCGCTATACTCGTGGATACTGCAGCAAAACCCCACTGCAAACTGGACTCTCATTCCTATTGACCATCCATCTCCATCACTGAGGGGATCTCTCTGAATCTCCTGAATGAGTCCAGATGCTCTCTGGATCAAATCTCTCCAGCATGGCCCTCGGCCAGGCCCAGTCCAGCTGCTGCCTGGATCAAACCCCTACAGCATGGCTCCCTGCCCAGAGCTGCTCTCTGGATTAAGTAACAGCTCCTGGTCAGTCCAGCAGCTCTCTCTCCTTCCTCCTATGCCAAACATGCACCACAGACTCCTGTCAGGCCAGCTTACTAAGCACAGGCACTCAGGTGAGAAAGAACATCCTCTCCTGGATTCAGCCAGCAAGCTATCCCTCCAATGGCACCGCTGTTAGAGGAGCTAGAGTGAAATGAAACTTTTTTTGATTAATAATTTACTTGTCACACTTTTGCAGTCACTTAGCCACGACGAAATACAAGTTCAGGTTGATCAAAACTAGCTCCAAATTGATGCCAGGCAGATTAAGGAAAAATGTGTATTTAAAATCTGGCCTTATTACACTTGCCTTATTATAGAGATTAAAAACTGACCCATACACGACATGGATTTTCAGCCCTCGTCGGTACTGTGCTGCTTCCACTTTCTTTGCTCCAGTTGTGAGCATACTAACAGCAGATGGGAAGCAGCCAGACTCTGCTCTCTGAAGTGCTCTCTGCCAGCATTTCTAGTCAATTTGACTCCATGGTTTAGCACACCGAGCTGAGGGGAAGGAGACTGCAGCTCAGAGACTAGCAGGGAAAAGCAAGAGTATGAGAAGACGGGGCCGGGGGGGACCACAGACATGACACAGAAGCGAGTGGACAGGAGAATGGAGAGACAGCTACAAAAAACAAAGCAGAACAGAGTACGTTCTGCAAAACCAGTACATAGTGAGGAGTGGAAAAGACGGAAAAAAAGAGGCAGAAAGGGAAAAAATAAGCACAGGGAAGAAAAGCAGGCTTAGAAGCACATAACAGCAGTTAGAATTCTGCAAACGTTCCTGTTTCTTTTGTTTCACTCTCATTTCAAAAGCTGTTATAAACTTACAGCTTGTGAAAGTTCTAAATTTTGAGGCAGGGCACAAGGGTCTCTCATCGGAAACAGGTAAGAAACCTCCTGTCAGGGCACACTGCAATACTTACTCCGACCAACGTCCCTTGCATTCAGTTGGGGAAATCGTTTGTTCTTTTAACCCCCAACCCAGCTAGATTGGATGAGATGGCACCTCGGGTAAGGTTAATTAACTGCATTGTCACCACTGACTCCAGTATAACCCAAACATCACAGCTCCTGTTAAAGACCCAATTCCCAAGTCCTTTCTAGTCTTTATCACGTCTTTTTGACCATAATATATATAAACATACAACAATCATCGGAATGGTGATGCTAATGAGGCCATATAAAGTAAAACAGAACAGCAAAAATATTTGCAAGCTACTTCTTTTCATAGTAATCTCTCATGTGTGGATTACACCACCCTGTTCTGCACTATTAGTTTTCCTACAGCTGTGAAGACTCAAGAGCACGCCCTGTTCTGCACTATTAGTTTTCCTACAGCGTGTGAAGACTCGAGAGCACGAAAACAGAGCTGTTAATATTGAAGCCTGCACTTAAGGCACGACATGTTTCACAGCTAATTTACCAAATATTGCCATATTAAGCTTCGCAGTATAAAACAAGGGGCTGTAAAGCAAAGATCTAAACTGATACAAAAGATCAAGACATGGGACCAAGCGAAAGGGTGAAGTAAGATGCTACACAACATGAAAAAGGCTTCGTATGTCTGGCCCTCATCCTATGAAAAGAGAGATCTGTATTTTTGACTCAGTGCACATTAGAAAAATGACAATAATATTGCCCAACTCCAGCTGCACCTTCCTGGAAAGAATAATAAAAGCCACCTGGGACATGCCATTTGGCCAGCACTTTTTGCATGGTGCAAAACTGTTATACGTGACATCTTATTGGGCTCAAACCCCAGCGGCGGAGTGACAGCCGTCACTAAGAGGCCTGAGGAGAAAAACATTTATTACGGTCAAAGCGAATTTTCATTTTTGGGGGTACAGTAAGCCTCTAACACTCTGCCTGAGTGTGAAGCTGCCAAAAGACAAGGGAGAACGAGCCGGAGCCAGGGCGAATTCCTGCTCCCGGGGTCCCTTCCCGGGGGACCCGCGCGTCGGGCGGCTGAAGGCGGGCGGCCCCTACCTGTTCCCGGCCTGAGGGAGGGCGGCTGAGGGGGACCTGAGGGCTCGCCCCACTTTCGGCGTGACAGCCGCCGCTCCCGCCTCCTCCTCCTCCTCCTCCTCCCAGCCCCTGCCAAGCGAGACGGGGAAAACAAAAAAGGGGGGGGGGTTCGCCGCCTCCCGCTCCTTCTTCCCCCAGCCGGCTCCAGGCTCTCCCGCCCCGCAGCCCCCACCGCCCGGCCCCGGCCGCCCTACCTGGCGCGGAGGGGCTGCTGGCCGCCCAGGCGCAGGAGGCAGCCGCCCAGCAGCAGGCTGCCCAGCGCGGCGGCCAAGGCGATGACAGCCCGCATGGTGCGCTCGGCAGCGGCGCCCGCCGCAGCTACGGCCGCCCCATAGTATTTAAGGCAGGCTGCGGGGAGGGGGAGGCGGCCATGGCAGCCACAGGGTCTCTCCGCTCCGCCCCTCGCCCGTTCCGCCGGCCGCAGCCCTGCGCCGCCGCCGCCATCAGCCCCCCGCCTCCCACCGCGCTGAGGGGCCGGGCGGGGGCAGGCCGGGCTTTTCGCCCAACTTTCCCCTCAGGCGAGCGGCGCGGTGATCCCGGGACAGGTTTCCCCGCGGGATGGTGGCCGCTGTGCCGGGGGTAGATGGGGCTACCTCCCCGGTTTCCCCGCAGGTTCCCGGGGCGGCGGGGGGCGGCTGGGCTCGATAGAGCTGCCGCGGCCTGAGGGGGGGCAGGAGGCGGGCAGCCTTTGCCGGCGGCCGCTCAGGGCGTTTCGGGGTAGCGGAGGCGGCGGGGCAGGTCCCCTCCGGTGCGAGGGAGTTAAAATGGTGCCGAAACTTGAAGAGGGGAGAGCGGGGGTGCCGTGCGGGGCGGCGGCGGGATGAGGTGGGGGGAGGCCCGGGCAGCCCGGCCCTGCCCCGGGGCTGGTGTGGCGAGGTCGCTGTCGCTTCGGTAGGTCTTCATCTTATTTATAAATGACATTCAATGTGGTGTTTTGTGAGGTGGGTTTTTTTTTAATGTGTTTGAAGTGATTTTCGGCAAAGATGTAGTAAGCTTGCGTCTTTTTTTGTGTAATTGTCATGTAGCGTTGTTTCCTCAGGGCTGGTCTTTGCTATGAGAAATGTAGTAAGGTGATGATGTGCCATTAATTATGCCCTCTTTATTAAGAGAGTGTGTACTAGAGATGCTGTACCTTACAGCCGAGAGCCAGCTGACACCTTGTTTTTGCAGGTTCTTCCTTATCCTTCCTGTTTTCTCTACCTCCAAGCATTCCCTTAAGCCTGGGAGCTTCTCTTCTGATTTCTCAGACAATGGCTCAAAAGCCTCAGAGCTCTCGCTCTGCTGGGGCTATATAAATGAAGTAACAAGGGACTTGATGTTGTGACTGGGCAGTGGTTAGCTAGGACAATGAGAAGGTGCATGCTTCAGAGGAACATCAGAGGAACAGCACGGCACCAGCTGTGATGGGGTGTGCCAGGGAAGATCTAATTAATAGGGTATTATGAGGGGTAATGGCCTCAAACTAGAAGAGGGGAGATTCAGATTAGATAGCAGGAAGAAATTTTTCACTCTGAGGGTGGTGAGGCACTGGAAGAGGTTGCCTAGAGAAGCTGTGGCTGCCCCATCCTTGGAGGGGTTCAAGGCCAGGCTGGATGGGGCTTGGAGCAACCTGGTCTGGTGGGAGGTGTCCCTGCCCAGGGCAGGGGGGTTGGAACTTGATCTTTTAAGTTCCTTCCAACATAAACCATTCCTTGATTCTGTTTTTTTTTTTTGGGATACTTATTCATGTCCCCAGTGAGCAGTGCTGTGGGTGCTGGTGGGACGGAGCTAGAAGCAGTTGCTGGTGGTGTTGCTGAGGGGTAGCAAGTCTGGGCTCAGTGCACAGTCCCCCCTGAGCACAGCTCCGTTGTCCTCTTGGCTTTGAAGTGCTTAACACAAAGACAGTGTTAAGACTTCTGAAGTCCTGAAACAGGTTTGCTGTTCTGCCAGGGCAGGGGGGTTGGAACTTGATCTTTTAAGTTCCTTCCAACATAAACCATTCCTTGATTCTGTTTTTTTTTTTTGGGATACTTATTCATGTCCCCAGTGAGCAGTGCTGTGGGTGCTGGTGGGACGGAGCTAGAAGCAGTTGCTGGTGGTGTTGCTGAGGGGTAGCAAGTCTGGGCTCAGTGCACAGTCCCCCCTGAGCACAGCTCCGTTGTCCTCTTGGCTTTGAAGTGCTTAACACAAAGACAGTGTTAAGACTTCTGAAGTCCTGAAACAGGTTTGCTGTTCTGAGGGTGTTGTGAATCCTAAATATCTTGAACATGAAGGAGGGGTTCAAGGCCAGGCTGGATGGGGCTTGGAGCAACCTGGTCTGGTGGGAGGTGTCCCTGCCCAGGGCAGGGGGGTTGGAACTTGATGATCTTTTAAGTCCCTTCCAACATAAACCATTCCTTGATTCTGTTTTTTTTTTTTGGGATACTTATTCATGTCCCTAGTGAGCAGTGCTGTGGGTGCTGGTGGGACAGAGCTAGAAGCAGTTGCTGGTGGTGTTGCTGAGGGGTAGCAAGTCTGGGCTCAGTGCACAGTCCCCCCTGAGCACAGCTCCGTTGTCCTCTTGGCTTTGAAGTGCTTAACACAAAGACAGTGTTAAGACTTCTGAAGTCCTGAAACAGGTTTGCTGTTCTGAGGGTGTTGTGAATCCTAAATATCTTGAACATGAAGATGTTTCATCACCATTTCCAAAAAATCTTCAGCTCCAGGCCTATCATCCAGTTGATACTGTATATGAACATGTCGAGGGCAAAGGTCAAGCTTTTAAAAGAATGTATGTGTTCACTGGTAGTAGAAACGTCAATCCCACTGTTACCTCTGTAAAACCTGAAGGCTCTGCTTATGTCAGTAGGTATTACCTTGTGCTAGCTCACGTTAGTTGATATCCCTGCCTGTGGCAGGGGAGTTCAAACTAGATGATATTTAAGGTCCCTTCTAACCCAAATCACTCTTTGATTTCATAATATCCTTTAAATACTCTATGTAAAAGTAAATCTTTCAGTTTAGAAAGTCTAGTGGTATTCTATTTCAGCTCTGAATGAAAGAAGACTGAGAATTAACAGTCCAGAACATGATTTTATTTTTTTTTTCTCCTCTGCAATACAGTTTTCCCATGAGTCCTGAAGTATTGCTGTCAGCTAATCCATGGGAAATTTAGTGATGTCAGTGAGGACATCGTATTTCAAGTTAGAGATCTGCTGCCAACACCGGTCTATAATATCAGTAGAGATTTTTTTTTTTCCCAGATCAGAAGGTTAATCTTTGTGTCATATTAAAGTTCTTGCAAATAAAATGGGGAGACTATAAACTGTATCTGTTTGAATTAGACTTGACACTTGGTGCTTGTTGTTTTATCAACAACTTTTACAAACACTTATTGATTGTGACAGTATCTCTAGGTGTTACCAGCCTTAATTTCCTGGCAGAGCAGCTTAGTAGAGAGGTTAAGTGACCTAACTAAAGGGTGAGCCGAGAATCAATGGTAAACTGGGATTCAAATTTAGGGATGCTGGATTTGGAGGTGAAGTTTCTCCTGCATCGTGTTGCCATGTCAGAAGCGGTGATGACAGGTGACACAATGCAGAGGGTCAAAATGGTAAAGTCATGGGTGCCCAAGATGCCACACAGGAAAAGACAAAGAGCAGACAGTGTGCACCAAGCGTGTGTCCCGTGCTGTCCTCCTGACAGCTGGAAGCTGCTGCATCTTGGCAGCATCCCCCAGCCTCTGATTCCCATTAGCTTCCAAAGTCAGTGGGAACTGATAATTGCTGGCTTGCGCAGAAGGAAGAGATCACTAATCAGCCAGGTGGTGCCATGATGACTTTGTTGCCGAGTTCCTACAACCCTACTTAGTTGCTAATTTGGAAAAGTAAAGTGTAGCCTTGGGTGTCATCTGTGAACGGCTGCTTTCCCACTCCTTCCCCCCCCCCCGCCCATGTCCACAGGATTGCATCTCAAAAGGAGTCTGATGCTGGTGCCTGTAGGGCTGCTGGTCACATGGAGCTGGCTTAGCTGCCTTATTTCCAGCAGCTAAATCATATTAAGAAGCAATTAATGTTCATTAAATGCTTTCCTAATGCTGCCTTCTCATCTAAGCAATGGCTGTCATAGGGATATTAGCTATTGCAAATAGGAGAGGAGATGACTGGTACAATTAGGAGGAAGAGAAAGGTGGAAAAGAGATTTAGTGAAACTGGAGTCCCATGTTGTGGCAAAGCATGAGTGTTCCCAGAGTGGGATTTTAGTGCAAGGCAACTGTTTTGGTATTTCTAGTGCGGTCATTACTGTGAGTGCTTTTAGCAAAAAAAAAAAAAGCCTCCAACAGACACATGAAACCAAAACATCTGTGTTTCAAACTGGGAGAAAGTAATTGGTTCATTTCATAACCTTTTCATTTATTTCCACCCACAGTTTTGGGTGACATAGTTTAAATAATGATAAACAGCAAGAGCTGAGGTGTTGTCTGCCAAACTCTAGGACATCAAGTTGTCCAGATCATTTCACAAAAGGAAAATGGCAAAAAGCAGTGCGTTCCTGTACCTGCTACTAAAAGAAAATAAATTAAAACCAAGCTCAGTAATAGCCTTGTGGCTGTTGCTGCTACACTTTTTCAGTCTTGCCTTAATGTTTTTCATTATTTCTTAAGGACAGGATTGAGTGTCCTGTAACTTAAAAATTCAGCTTTATTAAAATAATAACCAAATAACTACATTCAGCCAGCAAACAATTTGTTGAGGTCTACATAAAACTAGCTGAAGTATTAGGTGTTCAAAAGCAGTTAGGTGTACCCCAGTTTTGAGATGTTCATCAAGTGTGCCAGTGACAGCTCATCATGTAAGGTGCTATTCACTCTTCAGAGAAAGTCAAGGTGAAAAAAGTCAGGGGACATGGAGAAGTCTTCAAGATGCCAAGCGTCTTATAAGGTGTCATGTTTATGGCATGACTTGCCTCTTGTGCACAAAATCAATCATAGGGTTTGGGTTGGAAGGGACCTTTAAAGGTCATCTAGTCAAACATCCCCTGAGTTGAGCAGGGACATCTTCAACTAGATCATGTTGCTCAGGGCCCTGTCCAACCTGACCTTGAATGTTTCCAGGGAGGGGGCATCTACAACCTCTCTGGGCAACCTATTCCAGTGCTTCTCCACCCTCAGCGTAAAAAATGTCTTCTTTCTATCTAGTCTAAATCTACTGTCTTTTAGTTTAAAACCATTTCCCCTCATCCTATTGTAATAGGCTCTGCTAAAAAGTCTGTCCCCACCTTTCCTGTAGGCCCCCTTTAAGTACTGGAAGGCTGCTATAACATCTCCCCGGAGCCTTCCCTTCTCCAGGCAGAGCAACTCCAACTCTCTCAGCCTGTCCTCATAGAAGAGGTGCTCCAGTCCTTTCATCATCTTCACGACCCTCCTCCGGACCCATTTCAACAGGTCCATGCCTTTCCTGTGCTGGGGGCTCGGCTGGGGGTCTCACCAGAGCAGAGTAGAGGGGTGCAGTCACCTCCCTCACCTGTCCTCATAGAAGAGGTGCTCCAGTCCTTTCATCATCTTCACGACCCTCCTCCGGACCCATTTCAACAGGTCCATGCCTTTCCTGTGCTGGGGGCTCGGCTGGGGGTCTCACCAGAGCAGAGTAGAGGGGTGCAGTCACCTCCCTCAACCCACTGGCCACACTTCTCTTGATGCAGCCCAGGATGTGGCTTTTCAGCACTGAGAGCGCACATTTTTAGCTAATGTCCAGCTCTTCATCTACCAGTAGCCCCAAGTCCTTCTCAGCAGGGTTGGTCTCAATCCCTTCATCCCTGAGTCTGTCTTGATACTGGGGGTTGCCCCAGCCCAGAGCAGGACCCTGCACTTGGCCCTTGTTCATATGGGCTCACTTATTGAGCTTGTCCAGGTCCCTATGGGTGGCATCCTGTCCCTCAGGCATGTCAAGCCCACCACTCAGCTTGGTTTCATCTGCAAACTTTCTGAGGGTGCTCTCAATCCCACTGTCTATGATAAAGATATTAAACAGTACAGGTCCCAGTATGGACCTGTGAGGAACGCTGCTTGTCACCAGTCTTCATCTGAATAGTGAGTTGTTGACAACTACCTTCTGGATGCAACCATCCAGCCAATTCCTCATCCACTGAACAGTCCACCCATCAAATCCGTATCCCTCCAGTTTAGAGAGCAGGATGTTGGGGCCTTACAGAGGTCCAGACAGATGATGTCCCTAGGTCTTCCCTTGTCCTCTGATGTAGCCGCTCCATCATAGAAGGCCACTAGGTTGGTCAGGCAGGACTTGCCCTTGGTGAAGCCATGCTGGCTGTCTTGAATCGCCTCCCTGTCCTCCGTGTGCCTTAGCACAGCTTTCAGGTGAGGCTGACATGTTGATAGGCCCTAGGAGTCTCTCCTATGCTTTTTAAAAAATGAGTGCAGTTTTTCCCTTTTTCCAGTCACCAGGGACTTCACCTGACTGCCATGACTTCTCAAATATCATGGAGAGTGGCTTGGCCAATCTGTCAGGACTCTGGGATGTATCTAATCAGGTCCCATAGACTTATGCTGAGGTTCCTCAGGTGGTTGCAAACCTCATCTCTTGGAGCAGGAGGGACTTTGCTCTTCCAGTCCCTGTCTTGTGGTCCATCCCCTCGAGAGGTGTGGGGAGAGAGGTTGCCAGTAAAGACTGAGGCAAAAAAGTTGTTGAGTCCCTCAGCCTTTTCCTAGTCCATGGTTACCAGTTTGTCAGTCTTTCTCATCAGGGGGTTACGCTTTCTTTCACCTTCCTTTTCTGGATGACGTACCTGTGGAACCCCCTCTTTGTGTCCCTTCCACGTTCAGCTCCAGCTGCACCTTGACCTTCCTGATCCCATCCCTACACAACCAGGCAGTGTCCCTTTATTCCTCCCAGGATACCTGTCCCTTCTTCCACTGCCTGTGTGTTTCCTTCTTGCTCTTTAGTGTGACCAGCAGCTCTTGACTCAGCTGTGCTGGTCTCTTGCCTTCCTTTCCTGATTTCTAACACATTGAGAGCTCTTGCACTCTAACGAGAATGTCCTTAAAGATGTTTTTTCCCCACTGTTGTAAACTGGCAATGGCTTTTATTTATCCGAGTAATGTATTGTGTTTCCTTCACCAGATTCCTCTATGTGGTTTAACCAAGTAGCCAGCTTCTCCCCTTTAGCAATTGTGATCCTGACCCACAGCAGAGAAACATTCATTGCCAAAAATGCATCTTGTAGCATAAGCAAACTTGAGGCCAGTAACTCCTGAAAACGAGTGCTCTCCTGCCAGCCGCTGGGCAAGGCTTCAGCCAATTAAGGGCACCGTGGGCATTGAAGTGCCCGTGGTTGTGGTGCAGCCTCTTCCTAAGGAAGGCGACGAGGGGAAGAGGATCTGAATTCTAATTAGATACAATTAGAGGATTTTAACACAGAAACCCTGGAAACTTGCAAACTGTGAACCTGAATGGAGAGATCTTTTTTTTTTTTTTTTTTCCCATTTCTTCTTCCTAAATGCTGTCAGCGTGGCTTCTTAATGCAACGCCGTGAGAGAGGCCGTGTTGGGTCAGACTGGGACAGGGTGTTCTGCAGGCAGTGCCCATGGCAGGCTCCTGGGGAGGAGCTGTGCCGTGGGTGAGCCGGCCCTGGGATCCTTTCTCAGCTCCCAGCAATCAACGGCTGAGGGCATTTCTGAACCACAGCTATCGGTGTGTTTAGACGCCTTTCATGGATTTTTCTCTTCTGTGATTATGTCTAATTGCTTTTTGAAACCGTGTAAACTTTTGGCATCGGCAGCAGCTTGTGTCAGTGATTTCCATCCAAGCTGAAATCCTTCCCGTCGCGATTAACCCAGGAACAATTTGCTAAGAGGAGTCTCTGTTGTTATGCGGAAACTCTGATCTCCTGTGCTAAAGGCCACGAAGCGGTAAGTATTCTCCTGCAAAGATATTTTTTTTTCCTACACATTGCACAAATCAGCGCTGCTGTTAGTACAAATTCGCAGCATCCATTGCTCGAATTCAGAGCGAGTTATTACAGAGCATGCTGTGAATGCAAATTAAAAAATAACGCACAACACTCAACCAAATCCTAACGGGCCAATGGCACGATGTCAAATACATCCGGAGCAAAGACTTCTAATACTGTTATTAAAACCCCAAGCAAACAAACAAGGCGAGTAAATCAGCACTGACAAAAGCAGTTGGAGCAGCGTTTGCTGGTCACAGATCAGCGTGCAGCCCGACGGCACGGCTCCCAGCGGCTCCCAAAATGCCTGCACGGCTGAAGGGAGAATATGCCTCCAGAGATGTCACGTAATGGATGGGTTCTCATCAGGCGGTGTCGATGATGGGGGAGGTAATTACGTCAGGCTAAACACTTCTTTCCATCAGTGAGTGTGGCACAGTGTGTCCGGCTGCTAATCTGTGGAAAAACCCGATTTGGAATCGCATGTCTGTTGAAGTGTGGGTATGAAACGCTCAGCTAGAGAAACGAGGGGCCATCGTGGAGTTGAGAGTCATCCTTAATGATACACCTGAGGGGCTGCAGTGGTCAGTCAGCATCGTTTATGCTTATGGGAATTCCGGGGAGACCTAATAGCAGCCTTCCAGTACCTGAAGGGGGCCTACAGGAAGGCTGGGGAGAGCCTGTTTAGAAAGGCCTGCAGTGACAGGACGAGGGGAAATGGCTTCAAGCTGGAGGGGAACAGATTTAGATTGGAGATTAGGAGGGGGTTCTTCACTGTGAGGGTGGTGGAGCACTGGAAGAGGTTGCCCAGGGAGGTGGTTGAGGCCCCATCCCTGGAGATATTCAAGGAGAGGCTCGACGAGGCCCTGGGCAACCTGGTCTAGTTGGGGGTGTCCCTGCTGACTGTGGGGAGGTCGGACTAGATGACCTTTGGAGGTCCCTTCTGGCCTGGGCAATTCTATGATTCTATGAATTGGTAGACACAATTTAGGAAAATAAATTAATGCATGATGTAAGCAAATAGGAGGGATTACTGGGAAGAAGAACAAAAAGGGACGGTGTACGAGGGCCTAATCTTGGGATGGGCAGATGATCTATTGAGTTTGATCCAGGATGGTGGCCTGACAGCCCAGCTCCAAACTGGCTTCTTGAGATCACAGTGCACTCAAAAAAGCTAAAGCCATTTTTTGGGGTATTCTTTGTTGAAATTCACACAGAGTACAGTAAAGAAAAAAAAATGAGGAAGCATTATATGCTGATATATGGGGATAGACTACTTCATAGGTACAGAACAAAACAACAAAAGTGATATGGAGCTCATAAATTCATGGTGTTGAGGGGTTTGGAGGAAGGAAGAAAGCACCTCTGCCTTAAACTGAGTAAAAGCTATTAACCTCATTAAACAGAGTTAAAATATAACTGCCCAGATTGCAGCCTAAATCTGTTCTCACAAATTCTGGGCTCCCCAGTTCAAGAAGAACGGGGAACTGCTGGAGAGGGTACAGCAGAGGGCTAGAGAGATGATGAGGGGCCTGGAGCATCTCCCTGATGAGGAGAGGCTGAGGGACTTGGGGCTTTTTAGTCTGGAGAACAGAAGGCTGAGGGGGGGTCTGATCAATGCTTATAAATACTTCAAGGGTGGGTGTCAAGAGGATGGGTCAGTCTTTGTTCAGTGGTGCCCAGGGACAGGACAAGAGGAAATGGGCACAAACTTGAACATTGAAGAAGTTCCACCTCAACATGAGGAGGAACTTCTTTGCTGTGAGGGTGGCAGAGCCCTGGCAGAGGCTGCCCAGGGGGGTGGTGGAGTCTCCTTCTCTGGAGACATCCCAAACCCACCTGGACACGTTCCTGTGGGACCTGCTCTGGGTGGACCTGCTCTGGCAGGGGGTTGGACTGGATGATCTCCAGAGGTCCCTTCCAACCCCATAGCATTCGGTGATTCTTGCTGTTATCTTCTGCAGCAAAAACTCTTGAATGCTCCATAGAAAATATCCATTGCGAATCCTGTGTTTTCCACGTTCTATCATCAGGTACTTCTTGAGCTGTTCGCAGTGTTGTGAAATTAATGCTGATAAGGCCATGGGAATTAAATTGTTACTGAAGTAGTTTTCTGTCTGAGTGATACTGGTTGTACACTGGAGCTCAAAATGGGCCAAAACGTGGTGGGATTCATGTGAGAGAGCCAGCTCAGCTGGCACCTGAGCATTGCTGTCCTGCTGGGGTGGGAAAAATCAATGGGCCGAGACCAACGGGATGAGGTTCAACAAGGCCAAGTGCCAAGTCCTGCACTTCGGTCACACCAACCCCCTGCAGCGCTGGGGGCAGAGTGGCTGGAGCTGCCTGGCAGAAAAGGACCTGGGGGTGTTGGTCGACTGTGGGCTGAACATGAGCCAGCAGTGTGCCCAGGTGGCCAAGAAAGCCACCAGCATCCTGGCCTGTGTCAGGAGCAGCGTGGGGAGTAGGGACTGAGAGGTGATTGTCCCCCTGTACTCGGCACTGGTGAGGCCTCACCTTGAGTACTGTGTCCAGTTTTGGGCCCCCTACCATAAAAAAGACATTGAGGTGCTGGAGCGGGTCCAGAGAAGGGCGACAAAGATGGTGAGGGGTCTGGAGAATAAGTCTTATGAGGAGAGGCTGAGGGAGCTGGGGTTATTCAGCCTGGAGAAGAGGAGGCTGAGGGGAGACCTTCTTGCTCTCTACAACTACCTGAAAGGTGGGTGTAGAGAGATGGGGGTCGGTCTCTTTTCTCAAGTCACAGGCGACAGGACAAGAGGAAATGGCCTCAAGTTGCGCCAGGGGAGGTTCAGGCTGGATATTAGGAAAAATTTTTTCACTGAAAGGGTTATCAGGCATTGGAATGGGCTGCCCAGGGAGGTGGTTGAGGCACCATCCCTGGAGGTGTTCAAAAGACGGGTTGATGTAGTGCTGGGAGGTATGGTTTAGTGATGATGCTCCTTGTTTGTTGTGTGGGTGTCTATTTTTGTCAGTTAGGTTGATGGTTGGACAAGATGATCTTTAAGGTCCCTTCCAACCTAGAAGATTCTGTGATTCTGTGAAAGATGGTGGTGGGAGTGGGGCTGGGATAACCCGTAGGCAGCACAGCCCGTCTCTGGTGTCAGGAGTGGGGGAGAACCCTGGGCCAGGCTGTGCTGTGGCCAGCGGGTGGGAGAGGTGGCAGGAGGGGGCCAAGGGAGGGAGCTGGGACCTCTCCCCTCTCCCAGCAGATCATCACTTGGGCTCGTCTCTCTGTCTTCTCTCTAAACAAGGTAGCACGAGGTACAGGACTCTATCCCTGCAGCGCAGTCCTTTGGTATGTCAATATGATCTCCTCCATGATTCATGCATTCATTAAAAATAACATTATTTTTTTTTTAAATGTTACCTTCTCCGTTTCAGTAAGTGCTGTGGCACCCCGTGCCTCGGTGACAGGCCTTGCTCATCGTATTGCACTCCTGGCTCACTTTCATTAGGCTCTGCAAATATACTGCCATTCTTGCAAAATATGTGTGCTGGGTGAGCCAGAATCTCTCTTCTGGCCCTCAGATAGCCACTTAGGTATTTGTCTCCCTCTCAATTACCGTACTATCAGAGAAAGCTCGTTTTCGTTTATTATTATCCAGTGCTTTCAATGGCCTGGCAGGAGACAATAAAGGTCTACTAGAGGGGAAGACCAAATGTAGCCTGGGAAAAGAGAATGCCATCTGAACACAAAGGATCAATAAATACTCTTATATTTAGCATTATTTTCAGAGCAGGCACTCAGTACCTAGCTCCTAGGTGAGACTTTCTGCAGCACATGGTCATTTTCTTCTTATATATTGATCAACCTTATTTTTAATCTTGGGGGCTGTAAAACCCGTAGGACTTATTTAGGGACCTTCTGTGTGAGGAGCTGTAAGAAATGCCCCAAAGTTAATGAGACCAGCTAAACAGACTAAGCTGGTAAAGTGTATGGTTTACGTACACCCTTTCTGAGTCTTCTTTATTCAACGGTGTCGGCATCACCATCAGATCTGAAGGAATTAGGGTGGTGAGGCACTGGAAGAGGTTGCCCAGAGAAGCTGTGGCTGCCCCATCCCTGGAGGGGTTCAAGGCCAGGCTGGATGGGGCTTGGAGCAACCTGGTCTGGTGGGAGGTGTCCCTGCCCAGGGAACTTGATGATCTCTAAGGTCCCTCCCAGCTCTAACCGTTCTGTGGTTCTATGAATATAAAAACATATCAGTGTTTGGGAGGAAGACCCAAAGGGGAGAGTAGGAGGGAGCGGGTGAGGACAGAGGCTCTGAGGTGGTGAGGGGGTGTGTGGGGAGCAGGGGGGCTCAGTGTGGGGGGGACAGCCCGCTGGCATGCAAGGATGTGCGGAGCCCCAAGGGCAGAGGGAAGGGAGGATGAAGGTATTTTCAGCCAAGGGGAATGCTGATGCTCAGCGTACCATTATCACGTGCTGAGGAGATGTGCATTTTAAATACCCACATTAAAAATCCTTCGCCTTTAATTTGGCGTTTGCATATTGCATGAGTATGCGTTTGACCGAATAGCTGAGTGTGTGTAAAAAGCGATTGTAAAGCAAGGAATTGTCACTTGAAACCTGCAGCTGGAGAAAATTTATTCAGGCTTTCCAGATGTACTCAGGCTCGGCTTTGGCTGTGCTTAAGAGCAAACCGAGAATTTAACAAGCAAGCAATATGTGATTTTATTGATAACTGTTGGGTATGGTCATGAAAAACTGAATGAATCCTGCTGACAGCTGACCTGAAGGGAACACAGGTGGTAGCAAGGTGACAGCAGCACCTCTCTGAACTGCCCCATTGTCCTTGGGGAGAGATGCTGCATCAGGTTCTGCACCACTTTTTTCCTTTTTGTGTGACTCACTTTTCAGTAGTGCGTATGGTGCAATAGTTTTGGGGAGAAAAAAAAAAAAAAAAATGTTTTAACCATGGATGAGATTGAGAGTGCAAA